ATTAACTTCTGTATCGCTCTCCTCCTGCAAAGGGCTTTGAGTGGTTTACATATTTCTCCATCCAAATAATGCTCAGAGACAGATCTGCTGAGCTTTAGGCATTAGAAGTGCCAAACGGGTCTGTGGCTCCATGGCAGAACATGCTTTCCAAGCCGAAGGTCCCAAGTTCAAATCCTGCTTGGTGCCGAACTAAGTGGCGTGACACCGTTCAAAGTCCACTGAAGGCTTAGAAGGGACTAACTCTGCTCAGGACTGTACTTGTCAATATTCAAAGTGGGAGATTTCTGGCTTCGTACTCTTTTATTTATTTTTTAATCAAGTTCTATCAATATGTCTAATTCTCAATGTGTCCAGATCTGTGGACACTTAAATCTGGAGATTAGAGTCACAAGCAGATAAGACAGATAGAATCAGAGATTCACAGAGTTAGAAGGGGCCATAGAGGCCATCTAGTCCACCCCCCTGCTCAGTGCAGGATCAGCCTAGGGCATCCTTGACAAGTGTTTGTCCAGCTGCTGCTTAAAGACCACCAGCAAGGGGGAGCTCACCACCTCCCCAGGCAGCCGATTCCACTGCTGCACAATTCTTACTGTCAAAACGTTTTTCCTAATATCCAGCCGGGTACCTTCCCGCCCTTAATTTAAAGATCTTTCTACAAGCCTGAGAAAAGTTCCAGGATTGCGGAAAAACCGGAAATTTGGGGGAGGGGGGGAATACACCAGGTATTTTTTAAAAAGAAAACCCAAATAATAAAAGCATCACCTGTAGCTTTAAGAAACAAATGCCCTCTGTGGCTGTTGCTAGGCAGCTACAACAGTATTGCCAGCTGAAGCCCTGGTTGCTGTCAGTAAAGGCAGGTGGAGGGGGCAGATCTCTTTCCAGGGCTGTTTTGGCCTTTGAGGGAATACTCATTGAAGGCAGGTCTAGCAGCAACCAGGGTGGCCGCCTACCATCCCGTTTTCACGACTCCCCCAGGCCCAGCTTTCATAGAACCATTTTCATATGATGGTTCTTTGAACCAAGTAATTTTTTCTACTTCTTGTAATCTCACCATCCTCCTTCATGTTCTTCTCCTTGTTCTAAAGTCTTGGCCATGCACGAGAATGTATTAAAATGCCCAACACCTGGATGTACCGGACAGGGCCACGTGAATAGCAATCGCAATACACATCGAAGGTATGTGACTTTCATCCTATTCATGTGTTGCAAAAACTCGACTTGGGGGGGGGGACCAATTGAAAATCTGTTCAGGACATGAGGACAGACTGAGTTCTTGGACTTTGCTGTTGTTACCTGGCAACTTTAATATTACCTAGTTTTAAATTATTACTTATTACCTCCGTGTCTAAAGTTTGCTCATGGCCAGAGTATGAACCAAAGGACTTGTCTTTTACCTTTCGGCCTTTGCACTAGCTGGTCTACTGGATCCAGGACCGCCCCAAGCTCTAGCCCAGGGGTGGCTAAACTGCGGCTTAGGAGCCACATACGGTGGGCTCTTTCACACTCATTGTGTGGTTCCCGGCAGGGCAGCTGGGGAAGCAAAGGGGAGGCGTGCCTCTCCGATCAGTCTTCCCTTCCCCAGCCAGTGTTCCCCTCCCTGGGTAGGCCTGAAATGAGGGGAGCAGAGAAAGAAAGCAACTTTAAATGCATTCTCAAAGCCCCCATCCCACCAGCCGGCTTGGAGAAGGCATTTGTCTCTTTAAATCCCTTCTGCAAGCCAAGCCAGCTGGCTTGGGCTTGGAGGATGCATTTGAAGTTGCTTTCTTTCCATCTCTCCCTCCCTCCCCCCATCTATTTGCTTTCTTTGTTTCTCTCCTCTCCCTCTCTTTCTATCCACCTTTCATTTTTTTCCCCCACCTCTCTCTCTATTTCTCTCTCTCTCAGACAAATACATGTCATTGGACAAATAAATATCAGTCTCAGACTCCTTTTGTTTTTGTTTTTGGCGGTCTCATCTAATGTTAATAAAAAGCAAATTTGCATACTTCCCAGTAAAAATGGGTAATAATTGTTCACATTGTGCGGCTCTCAGACATCTGACGTTTATTCTAGGTTGGCTCTTACGTTAAGCAAGTTTGGCCACCCCTGCTCTAGCCCAAGATGCCATGGATATTATTTCTTGTTTAGTTGGAAGGGCACTCCTCCTTCCAGGCAACCCTGACTCCAGGGCTTTTTTTGCAGAAAAAGCCCAGCAGGAACTCATTAGCATAATAGGCCACACCCAACAGCAGAAACTCATTAGCATATTAGGCCACACCTTCTGACATCGCAGCTGACTGCATGTTAGGCCACACCCCCATGCCTTCCCTTGGCTTGCCCAGGCAAGCCAGCCCTTGGACAGGCCGGGGGAGGCATTTAAATGTCTCCCCGATCCTTCCAGGTCCCCCCCTGGAGTTTCCGTGTGGGATGTCGCTCTCCAGGCCTTCCCTCTGTAGCCACGCACTGCTCCCTCTAAGCAGTGAAGTCTTGTGAGCACAAATTCTACTTTGTGAGCTCCTGGCATTAAAGTTGTGAGCGAGTGATTTGGCGGCTGCATCAATTAGCTTGCTCTGGAGCCATCCTTCCCGAGCGAAGACAAAAATGTGTGAGCCGGAGGCTGAAAAACTGGGAGCCAGCTCACACTAACTCACCTTAGAGGGAACATTGCTCACAGGGTGTCTGTTGTGGGGAGGGGGAGGGAAAGGGATTGTATGCCGCTCTGAGACTCCTTCGGGTAGTGAAGGTCCAATCTCTCTCTTCTTAAAACCCAAATGGAGCTGGCCCTATTTTCTCATATTTTATATACAGCAACTTTCTTTCACGTGATAAAAATAACAATTATATATGGTAACCCAGAAATATCAATGGGGTTTTTTTTAAGGGTACTGTGGCTAACAGAGTCAGATTCCAAAGTAAATTTACTAGCTCTCACTAGGTAGAGCTATAAACGTTATTAATACTTTGACAGGCGCAAGGTTAGCAAATCTGCTTAATTTCTTATTCATTGTTTGTGTCGAAGCCATGAAAAGAAATTGATCTGGCCTCCCTCATAGACTCAGACTCGGAGCCGGAAGAAAAATCAGATAGATTTGCTCAGTTAATTGAGGAGACCAATTTGGCCATAAACGCTAGCTAGCAAGCCACGGGAAGAGAAAATTAAGTTAAGCTGATGTGCAGTTATGCTGGCCTTCTCAATGTCAGCAACCACACAGCTCGCCACGCCAGTGTGATTCGAGTTTTCTTGTGGGGGGAGACAGGATCCTCTCTGGCAGGTGCTTCTGCCCGTTTGGTGTAGTGGTTAAGTGTGCGGACTCTAATCTGGGAGAACCGGGTTTGATTCCCCACTCCTACACTTGCACCTGCTGGTGTGACCTTGGGCCAGTCACAGTTCTTTCAGAGCTGTTCTCTCAAGGGCAGTCCTCAAAAGAGCTCTCTCAGCCCCGCCTACCTCACAGGGACTCTGTTGTGGGGAGGGGAAGGGAAAGGAGATTGTAAGCCACTCTGAGACTCCTTCGGGTAATGAAGGGTGGGGTATAAATCCCATCTTTCCTCCTCCTCCTCCTGCTCCTCTTCTTTTTCTTCGTTGCCAACTCCTCCCACAAATACCCAGGAATTTCCTAACCTGGATTTGCCAACCCTACGTTCATGCCTGGGTTCTTCATGCTCAAAATCTGGCCATACTTCAGGGCGACCTCGACTGAAGAGGGGCTTGCTGGGAGGGTGGCGGGGGGGTACCCTGGGCCTGCTGGAGTGAAGTCCTAGAACCAGAGTGGAGGTGGTAAGTTGAGGCCCTTCCTGCGTCAGGTTTGAAGGAGGCAGGGGAAGAAAACGTGTTAGTTTACACTCTCCTTTCCTGAAAGAGCAGTTTGTGTCAGAGTTCTCTCAGCCCTACCTACCTCACAGGGTGTGGGGAGGGGAAGGGAAAAGGAGATTGTAAACCGCTCTGAGACTCCAAGTGAAGGGCGGGGTATAAATCCAATCTCTTCTTCTTCTTCTGTGCCACATCTGGGCTGGAGATCCAGCACCATGTTGGGATCGTGTCAAGAACGTAGGTCAGGCGTCCCCAACAAGGTAGCCATGGGCAGCGTGTCGTCTATGGACCCCACTCCTGGCACCTGCCAAGTCTTGAGAGCCAGTTTGGTGTAGTGGTTAGGAGCGCGGACTCTAATCTTTGAGAACCGGCTTTGATTCCCCAGTCCTGTGCATGCAGCTGCTGGTGTGACCTTGGGTCACTTATAAGTTCATTCGGAGCTGTTCTCTCAAGAGCAGTCCTCGAAAGAGCTCTCTCAGCCCCACCTACCTCACAGGGTGTCTGTTGTGGGGAGGGGGAGGGAAAGGGATTGTAAACCGCTCTGAGACTCCTTCAGGTAGTGAAGAGTGGGGTATATAACCAATCTCCTCCTCCTCCTCTTCTTCTTCTTCATAAAAAATGGGTGGGACCAGATGGCGGTTTTGCCTAGCAAGGCTTCTGATTGGCCACTGGAGATTTGATTGTTGTTTAGGCAACAGCTGCTACTGCAACACAAGGATCTTTGCTGTGTGGCTGAAGCTGCAGCAGCCATTTTGTGGCTGGCTCCGCCTCCTGGGGCAGCCATTTTGTGGTTGGCTCCGCCTCCTGGGGCAGCCATTTTGTGGCTGGCTCCGCCTCCTGGGGTAGCCATTTTGTGGCTGGCTTCGCCTCCAGGGGCAGCCATTTTGTGGCTGGCTCCGCCTCCTGGGGCAGACATTTTGTGGCTGGCTCCGCCTCCTGGGGCAGCCATTTTGTGTCTGGCTTTGCCTCCTGGGGTAGCCATTTTGTGTCTGGCTTTGCCTCCTGGGGCAGACATTTTGTGGCTGGCTTCGCCTCCGGGGGCAGCCATTTTGTGGCTGGCTCCGCCTCCAGGGGCAGCCATTTTGTGGCTGGCTCCGCCTCCTGGGCCAGACATTTTGTGACTGCGCCTCCCATGCTCTATCAGAATTCTGAACAGGTGAGGACCCCTGACGTAGATTCTCAGCACCGTAGCTGCTGTGCAATACCCCACTGGCTCTGCAGAACTTAAATGTGGATCAAAAGTAGGCCAACTACCAGTACTCTAAGGTTTGCTGCCCTGGCTAAAGTTCTCAGATGCAACCTGAGGAATTGTTTTTAACCTTCACTTGCCCAGGTCAGCTTCTTCCTTGATGTCGTTGCTCTGGGCGGCCAGGGCTCTTTTTGTAGCAGGGACTCCTTTGCATATTTGGCGACACACACCCTAATGTAGCCAATCCTCCAAGAGCTTACAGAGCTCTTCTTACAGGGGCCACTGTAAGCTCTTGGAGGATTGGCTACATTAAGGGATGTGTGCCAGGGCTCTTTTTGTAGCAGGGACTCCTTTGCATATTAGGTGACACCCCCCCCCTAATGTAGCCAATCCTCCAAGAGCTTACAGAGCCCTTCTTACAGGGGCTACTGTAAGCTCTTGGCGGACTGGCTACATTAGGGGTGCGTCGCCTCATATGCAGAGGTCTTTCCTGTGACCCTGCTACCAGAAACGAGGGTCCTGTCTGAGCACACAAAAGCCAAGGAAAGGAGCAACAGAAGAGAGCAAGAAATGGAGCGGGAAGCATCCCGTCCCACTGCAGAAGGAGAGGAATAGTGCAGTCCTGAGAGCTCCTTCCTGGGAGTAAGCCCCGTTGAATAGACTTCATGGACGTCCAGGACCTCAGGCGCTCAAAAGTGTTATATCAGTGTCTATTATGCTTGTGCTAATCTTTCGGTCTTTCCGTTCTTCTCCTCTCACTTGGATCCCGGCCGCCGCTCTCCAAAAGTTTATCAGGGTGCCCCATCGCCGCCGCGGAGAAACTCGCCAAATCTCATGAGAAGCAGCCGCTGCCGACCGGTGACCCATCAAAGAATAGCTCAAATTCTGATCGGATACTCAGGTAATGGAGGTCAGGTAGATTTCACAGAATCGTAGCGTTGGGAGGGACCTCTAGAGCCCTGCAGGACTCCACTTGGTTGGAATCCAAGTCTTACGAGGAAAGGCGGAAAGAGTTGGGTCTGTTTAGCCCGGGAAAGAGAAGGCTTAGAGGGGACACGATGGCAGCCTTCAGGTATTTGAAGGGCTGTCTTGTAGAAGATGGAGCGGATCTATTCTCTCTTGCTCCGGATTGCAAGACTAGATCTAATGGGTGGAAATTACAAGGGAGTGGATCCCGGCTAAGTATCAGGAGAGACTTCCTAACTGTAAGAGTGGTTGAGCAGTGGAACAGTCTGCCTCGGGAGGTGGTGGATGCTCCTTCGCTAGGCGTTTTCAAGCGGAGGCTGGACGACCATATTTCGGATATCATGTAGGTATGTAGGGCTGTCTTTCGGCTATGCTCCTGCAGAGTGCAGGGGGGTTGGACTAGATGACCTGCAAGGTCCCTTCCAACTCTAACATTCCATATGATTCTATATGATTCTTTGAAAACCTCCAAAGGAGGAGAGCCCGCCACCTCCTGAGGAAGCCTGTTCCACTGAGGAACCTCTAACTGTCAAAAAGTTCTTCCTAATGTCTAGCCGGAAACTCTTCTGATTTAATTCCAACCCGTGGGTTCTAGTCCAACCTCCTGGGGCAACAGAAAACAACCCCACCCCATCCTCTATATGACAGCCTTTCAAGTACTTGCAGAAGGTGATCATCTCACCTCTCAGTCGTCTCCTCTCTAAGCTAAACATAACCAGCTCCTTCAGCCTTTCCTCATAGGAATTGGTCTCCACACCCCTCACCATCTTCGTTGCCCTCTTCTGGACACGTTCCAGGCAGCTTGTCCATATCCTTCTTAAATTGTGGTGCCCGAAAGTGAACACAATACTCTAAGTGAGGTCCAGGGGTCATTTCCTGCAGGAGCGCACAGGAGCGGAGCTTCGGCAGTAAAGAGACCAGGGGGCGGGCACATGCAACAAGCCCCACCCCCTTCTCCCCGCAGCCTTCAATCAGAGCAAAAAGCAGCCAGGTAAGCTGCAGAAACCCCCCCCGGCCCCCCAGTCCAAAACAGTTCAGTGGCACCTTTAAGTCCGGGTTTTATTCAGGTACAAGCTCTCCCTCCTCTGCGAGGACAAATCTGCATGTTCAAATAGCTGGCAATCCAAAAGAGTCCAGTGGAGCCTCAGCGGTGGGTGTTGCCTTCTGACACACTTCCGGTGATCTCAGGGGGTGTGGCATATGCAGATAAGTTATGCTAATGAGTTATGCTAATGAGCTCCTGCACCACTTTTCTACGAAATGACCCCTGGTGAGGTCTAACCAGAGCAGAGTATTGTGTTCAGTTTTGGGCACCACAATGTATGAAATAGATCTTCAATGGCATGGTTCTCTCTCCCCCCATTCTCTCTCCCCCCCATAACAATCTTCACATCTCTGGGAGAAGAGCATTTAGCCACGGCAGCTGCCCCTTCTGGCGTCTCCCGTACCTGCTGATGCCTTCCTTTACTGTCAAATGTCTTTCCCGACAGTCGAAGTTTAATTGATGCTCTCAGGCAGGTCACGCAGGACGACGGCTGGCTTTTGCAGCACCAATTAATGCAGAGCCAACAGGCCAAGGGGCTTTTTAACAGCGCAGTCGGCGGCTCGCGTTCTGATTACGCCGCAACGCAAACAGCCAGCGAATTACAGCCATTATATTAACATTATCGGTGGGGGGAAGGGGCGGGAAGGCGGCCGTCCAATTCTTCACTTCCCGTAATAGGTTAACACATCCTTTTTTTTTTGTAACAAAATTTTTATTCAGGATATAATCAATCAAACTCAACGTTAGTTTTACATTTATACCCGTTACATCCTGCCCACCTCCCTTTCCCCCCCCCACATGGCTTCCCACAGTGCTACGACCTCCTGTATATTGCTTAACCTTTTCTCCTCCATCCGTTTCCTCATTACAAGTTCACTAGGTAACTATTATTCTACTATTACAATTATATCTCTATTCTTTCATGATACTGGAAGTCAATATTCAGTAGTTATTAAAGCAAAATAAATTGTCTCTTACATCCCAATATTTTTCCAGATAATCTTTTAAATCCCTCCGGTCTTTATAGAAACCTTCTGCTTCCATGTTATTAAGTTTTCGAGTCATCTTGTCCATTTCAACCAAAAACAATAACTTTTTGATCCAATCCTCAACTCTCCGGACTTCCTCTTGCTTCCAGCATTGAGCATAGGTCATTCCGGCTGTTGTTATCATATACCACATCAATGTCCTTTTCGCCACATTGACCTTTTCCATTTTTAGTCCCAAAAGTAATACTTCTGGTTCTTTCTTGAATTTACATTTCACAATTTTTTCCATCTCTGCATGAATCTCACTCCAACATTTTTTTCGCTTTTTCACAAGTCCACCACATATGATAAAACGAGCCCTCAACCTTTTTGCACTTCCAACATTTGTTTGACATATTAGTGTTCATGTTGGCAATCTTTTTTGGCGTCATATACACATATACACATCCTTTATGGGTGGCGATCCCCGGCCGAGGGACGTCCGCTTCGCCTCAACCAGGGCCAACCGATCTAGAATGGGAAACATTTTGAGAACGCGTCGCTGATTTGTCTTTTACTTCCTCCTCCTCCTCCTTAGGCCTATGTGCTTTGTGAAGCAACTGGAGGTGCCTCAGTATGGCAGCTACAGGCCGAACATGGTTCCCACCACGCCAAGGGCCAACCTGGCCAAGGAGCTGGAGAAGTACTCCAAGGTCACCTTCGATTATGCAAGTTTTGATGCTCAGGTTTTTGGCAAACGCATGCTTGCCCCAAAGATTCAGACTAGCGAAACCTCACCTAAAGCCTTTAAATGTAAGTTGGGGCTGGTCGCGGATGGGGCTTTGGAATGTCCTGGCGTTGTGTTTTGCTTCTTTGTTCTTCCTCCTGTTGTACGGCGATTGCGCTGCTGGATCAGACCCATGGGTCCAGCTTCCCGGTAGGGATGCCAGCCTCCAGGCGGGACCTGGAGATTCCCCCGGAATGACAGCTCATTTCCAGAATACAGAGACCAGTTCCCCCGGAGAAAATGGATGCTTTGGAGGGTGGACTCCAGGGTGTTGTACCCCACCGAGGTCCCTGCCCTCCTCAGGCTCTGCATTCAGATCTCCAGGTCAATTCCCAACCTGTAGCTGGCAACCCTACCCCGTATTCCGCATCAGTGGCCAGGGGGAACCTGGTAAACCTACTTCCTAAGCTGGCAGATGTTTCTGGGAAGTTCCCAAGAAGAGCAAGAGGCTTCTCCAGACCCATAGCCAGAAAAATTGAGGGGGAGGTGGGGGGAGGGCAAGTTACATAGATGCCTTCCCTTCCGGAGCCGCCCTGCTGCTTCTGGTCAGTTTCACTCCCCTCTGATCAGCTCTTAGGCTCCCACCCCCAAAATCTCCAGGTATTCCCTAATCCAAAGTTGGCAATTCTGCTTCCCACTGATACTCTGAGCGGCAATGGAAGGGGGGGGGATTAAGAATCGGTGACGACAGCCGCATCACTAAGCCACTTGCAGGAAAAAACCCAGAACTGACATCAGGTAGCTCTAGGGATCATCAGAACTTCTATGAAAAACCATAGAGTTTCTAGGGATCCCTAGAGCTACCAGAAGTCACTTCCAGGTTAACACAGTGACCCAGCCACCCTCACACACACCCATGTCCCCACCCACAACCCTCCTGCTGGTCGCTAGGCTCAGCCTGGCAACCCTAAATTGAGCACCCGTTGGCACACCTTGTGGCAGTTAACCCAATGTGATAGTTATGTGCGGTGTGAACCTTCTGCCGATCCGTTTTATTGGGTGACCACAAACTCTAGTATTATGGCGGGCTCGTTTTCATTACATGTTTAATCTGTTTAATTCCCTCCCTTTGGGTGGAAGAGTGAGGAATACTTAACCTTTCTCCTGCTCACTCTAGATCCCTTTCCGGAGCTGTTCTCTTCCCACTGGGTTGCCAGCCTCCCTGCGGAACCTGGAGACCTCTCAGAAATATAACTGATCTCCAAATGATAGAGATCACTTCCCCGGAGTAAAATGGCCGCTTTGGAGGGTGGGCTCATCTCTCTCCTAGGTCCCTCCCCTGCCCAAGCCTTGCCCTCTCCGGGCTCCACCCCCCCTCCAAATCTCCAGGAATTCCCCAACCTGGATTTGGCAACCCTCCCCATGGGGTTCCAAGCACATCTATGTGAGGGCAGAGTTCCCTCTGCTCCGGGTGACCCCGTGACCCCGAGACTCACGCTTGCTTCCTGCTGCGTAGCCCCACCCCTTCCTCTGCAAACCCCCGTCCTCTGTCCCGTTTCTCGGTCACAGCGGAGTGCGATGGAATGTTGAGACCCGTATCCCCTTGGGGAAAGGAAGGCTGCTTTTTGCCAGGGGGAGGTCTATTATATTCAGCCATGCCAGATTGATTCGATTTAATTTGTTTTCCCCAGCTGCGTGGGAATGAATCCTGC